GATTGGTATGACGTATGATTTATATATCTGTATAGCGTTTAGTTTTTAAATACTTGACATTGATCCCAATGAGAGTCGTAACTTGCAGCTTCTAAAGCCCAAAAGATGTCCAAGGTCGGACAAACTGCAAATTAATTAACTGCACGAGGCATCACTAACCTCGCGCGACCGCAGCAATGCGGCGGCAGAATTCAATAAAAAAATATCGCACATTGAATCTGTCGCTACGGAACTAAGTATGTAAGTGCAGTCGCCAACCTTTGAAGTGAAGAACCAAGGTTTTAAAATTGTTTTTACCGCAAACTAAGATTATGTAATAATATTAAATGTACATTCTGGTTGCGTATACAAGAGCGTCGGTGGCTCAGTGGTTTAAACACTTGACTTGTAATCTACAGGTCTTGGGTTCGAATCCCGCCATGTACCAATGTGATTTTCGATTTTTCGAATTTTCATATGTACATAATTTACCCGACGTTCTTACGGTGAAGGAAAACATCGTGATGCAACCTGCACGTATCGGCGAAGAAATTCAAAGATATGTGTGAAGTCAACCAACCCGCACTTGGCCAGCGTGGTTGACTATGGCCTAGTCACCCCTTACTTAGGGTAGGCTCCGAGCCCCTCGGTGGGGACTTATAGTGAGCTGGTGATGATGATGATTCTGGTTGAGACCAATTGTTTAAACTTACTGGTACTATGATATATGAAGTCTCAGAATGTTTTTTGTTTTTTAAACTGAGCATACCAGATTGTACATTCTACAAACTACAATTTAGTATGCTTAGTTTAAAAAATGAACTGAAGTGTATTTGATATTATACCCCTCAATTATAATATTATCAAATGTTGTCACAGCACGAACAACGAAGTCATAAGACCGTATCTAATGGACCTATTAGGATAATAGGATCGTGAGTGATATTTTTTTCTAGTAATAAACGTGGTGACTTTTAAATGTTGAAATATGAGTAGGAAATAATCTTACACGACTGATCACTTTCGGCAGGTCAGTACTATGTAAGTATTCTGTGTTTGTGTTTCCCTAGAACTTATCTGGATAAAGCATAATATGCAACAACAGCTTGTAAAACTTTCACTGCATATTTATCAATAATTTTGTCCGTAGAATATTTATTAAATAGAATTGAAATATTTGCGGCAAAATTATAATATGAAATTAAAAAAAACAATTAAAGTTTATAAGCTTCATGCTTCCTCAATTTACCTCTTCCTAAAATTCAATAAAAATTCGATAAGGAAACGAGTATTAATATAAATTAAGATTGTAGTAATTAGCCTTCTTTATCTCAACGACATATTAACTGTGTACTTAAAAGTAAATGGTAAATTAAATGTAAGTACTCTACATGTTTTCGACATTTGTGTATTTTGCCGTTATAGCCGATATTCGATTTGGCTCATCTACAAAAGCATATCTTTACTAATTTTAACAAAACCCTTTTCATATAGCAAGTTTCAAAAACTATTTCTATATAATTACCTAATTTTTAGTTCAATTAACGCGTCATCATTTTCTCTGTTTCCTTTTCCCTACATACTTTACTCTTATGCATATCCTCTAATTAAAAGGCCAACCATACTTTCTTAAGTATTCCTCTCTAACTTTGTAGCCAATCAAATCCATTAACTACCCATTTAAAATATCGACGTATCAAATTATTTAAAGACAAATGTCTACACGAAATAACAGTATAAAATAGTGTCATGGCGCATTACAGCCGGTTAGAATTTGATTATGAGCGCGTGAAACCGGAGATCCAATTACAGGTAACGAGGCATCACCATCTCAGCCACAAAGGCGACAACCGACAACGTACACTTATCTTGATGAATCGCACATAGATGTCAGAGTGTCAACGACATTACATGAACTATGTGCTACTGGGCAAACTTAACGTACAATTCGCAGCTAGATTACGTGTTAAAATTACTTATTTCATTGTATTCATTTTAGGACACCAAAATCAATTGTATGTAATATCGCAGTGCGAAATAGTAAAAAGAGAATACATAATGATTAAGGGTTGACAACGCATCTGTAATTGAGGATGTCTATAAGCAGCAGTTGCTTTGCTTTTTAGGCGAATTTTTGTAGCCGCTGGCTCGTTTGCCACGTTATGATGTAAGGAAGTGGAGAAACAACAGTAATAATTCTACAATTTCTTTTGTATTTAAGTACAAACTACATGTGAACGGAGAATTTTAAGTAGTTCAAGTAATATATTGGTTATATAGATATGCTCTTAGTGTAGGTTTAGCGTAAATTCTTAAGATTTCATGAATTTATCCGATCAGATATTGATTAGTTGAAAGCAAAAGATTAATAAATCTTTCCGTAACAATCTATCAAAGTAACGGAGGCGACTAATTTATTAGATAAGCCTAACTTGATTTATCATTTGGTGTGAAGGCGCAATCTTACGGAATTTAATTGAATGAAACAGCTGCCGTAACGAACACAGCGAGCAAATTGTCTAAGGATAGGCATTTGTGAATCATTGAACCAATTAATTTATTCAAGAAAATTACTTATAAAGCCAAATATTCAGGAATGTTAAGATATACCCGGGAACGATTTTTGGACTTATACAAGAATAATGACAGATTCCCACAAGTTTAAAAAGTACACTAAAACACAATAATAATCGGGTAATGTTTCGGGACTTGTCGAGTTCTCACTCATTGATTGTATACCACATAACTTTATGTTTGAAATATTGCTTGTCAGTAATGTTAATGTAGAGTATGTTATATGTTAATTTAGGACAGGGTCATTAACGTCTGTACATTAAATTGTATCGGACTCGTGACTTGCGATGAGCTTGACGCATCACCTGACCCACCGACCTGACCCCCCCGCCCGCGCCCCCACCACCTGTGACTTTATATGACTCTTGCGTAATTATTGTGTACGGTCACTTATCTATTATTTTTATTCAACATAAATTATATTAAAATTCGCTATTTGTATTATCTGTTGAAACAAGGTTGTTTACTATTGTACAAAATGTTTTGACAAATCTTTCAATGTAATAAATTGATTTACTATAATCGACAAATTGTGCGACGTGATAATGTTTTCAAAAGTAATACCGTACAAAATACAAGAATATTTTAATCCTTTGAAGTTATTTCAACCTGATATTTTTTGTTATATGTTTATAGAATAGTGTGGTACAAAGTAGACTTGATGCCTGCCAAATGTTTACTACATTTATAAGTCAGCCAGCCTCAGGCATTAAATAGGTTCTTATACGTAGTATTGACATAAAATTTGACCGCTGTTAGAAGCCGCATACATTCCAGCCTGATATGGCGTCTTGCCGCTCGTGACGCAGCGTTGGGCAATATCGTGCATGAACTGCTTTTGCATGAACGCATTAGCGGCATTTATCATCACAACTTAGACTTGCTTCTACATCTATCAAATATAATGTCTCTCGTATTAAGAGCTTATACAGGATTTTTACAATACGACGCAATGTTACAATCATCACCTGCTAACGATAAGTCCCCACTAAGGGGCTCGGAGTCTACCCTAAGTTAGGGTGACTAGGCCATAGTCAACCACGCTGGCCCACTGCGGGTTGGTTGACTTCACACATATCTTCGAATTTCTTTGATTGTCAATTATTTCAATGTCGTATGAACGTCGGGAAAACTATGTATAAAACTATATGTACATGGCGGGATTTGAACCCATTACCTGTGGATTACAAATCAAGTGCTCAAACCTCTAAGCCACCGACGCTAACATTACTATACGATACGGATAATGGGCTAGGTCGTTGCTGACCCCCTGAAAATAATATATTTTGACAGGATTACTTTAATTGCACTTATATACTTATCATAAGACTGAAAATGAACTGAACTTATTAACATCGTAAATTCAATATTATAAGCTATGCATTAGAATTAGACCACAAGATGCAAAGCATTAACGATCCCATTACCCTAATAGGTTTTAAAATTTATTTCAATTAATGCGTTATTTAATTCATGGTTCAAAATTAAGTCATTTTGACTTTCTACTGATTTATATTTATTTATGTCTTAAGTAATAAGTCCTAATATTTAGTTAAAAGTTGCAATCGATATCCTGTTTTTAATGTATTTGTTTACGTAGGCGTGTCCTTGTTGACCTATTATTTTACGATATTCAAATAAACAGATATTTTATTCTAACAATAATATTTTTGTGTGGGAAAAAATGCCAATAAATGTCGCGTTTACGATTATGCAACTGTTTTAAATTAAAGCTTGATTTCTTGCCTTTTAACTTATGCTTCTGTTAAGTGCATTATAATTTTAACTAGCTGTTCCCGTGCGGCTTCATTCGCATGTAAATATGAAGAATTAATTTTATTGTTTACATTTGTCAAATTATCAATAACAAATGTCAAATTGACATGACATTACAAACCTTGGCAATCTTGCTTCCCCGATGTTGGCAGCAAGCAGCAACTTATGGTCTCTTTCCCACATTAGGGTTTTTATCCAAAATATTTACCCCCTAAGTTTAATGGCGTGAAAATGTGTAGCCTAAAGCGTGACGTAAGTGTAGGGCTTTTTATTAAAAGAAGAATTATTCAAAAAAATGCTGTGATTGCTGACATCTTAGGCATCAAAGAAGTGTGTGTTTACGCTTTATTATAATAGTATAGATTTATACAGGCTATAAAGTTATTTGGACGGTTGTAAAATTTGGTGCTTATAGTTACGTTAATATTTGGAGTACGTATTGCGACTTATACCTTGACCATGGACGAGTTTATTACAAATTTTAATTCATTAAAAAAACAGTATTTTTAGAGTTTTATTTAAATTAAAAGCTTTGCCTAAATATATTTATTAATTAACAATGGTATGCAATTAAAAGTTACTAATTAAAAAAAGGTTCTTAAGTTATATGTTATAAGTGGTCGGATGGTACTACAGTGGGCGCATTTCCCCCATGCGCGCACGTCGACGCATCCCCGCTACAGCCGCTATAAAAGACGTCGCCCAAACCAGCTTCGCGCTATTACGACAGTGTCTCTGTGATTTTCTCCGTCGTTGTACATTTCATTCCTCATAAGGTGAGTAAACAAATTTAAGCTAGCTATAAGTAATTAACTTCCAGGACGTTTCAATCCTTATAGGATTAAAGGGTTCTTAAAAAGGCCTTGGAATAATAGTTAAAATTAGTAAATTAAATATTATGTTAGGAATGATTAATTTAATCATAAAATTAATATAAATGCATAGTAAAATTGGTGTGAATGACATTTAATTAATTAATAGGAAAATCAGTAATAATTTTTGTTTACGTTTAAAGTTTTAAGATTTTAGTGAAAATAAACTTCTACATATTTAGAATTTCACTAGATTTGTTATAAATAAATAATTAGAGTGTTTGGTATTCATGATTTAGTGTAAATCATTAATAATTCTAACATCGCTCGCGTTCTGTATAAATATTTCCTAGATCGCTGTGAGTTGTTCGATGTCCTTACGATTTGCACATTTTATTCAAAGTGATATCTGCGGATTACGAGGAACGTATGTGTGTCAAGCTTCAGTTGCGACATTGTACACGGTGGAGCGAAGTCGAGATTATGATTGGACGCCCTTTTTCTATGGGAATTTTACGTCAAATGTTGTTTTATACGTGCTATGAAGCTTTTTGTCGCAAATTAGTTTTCTTTCGGAATAATAAGCCAAGGTCAGGTTACAATATCTTTATGTAAATAGTATACATATAAGTAATTGGATTTATGCGAAACTATTTCATGTTTTGTGTTGTAAATTTAGTTATAAAAATTTTACTAAGAATGTATTTGAATAAATCAAAACAATATTAACTTTATATTTCAAATCGCACTTTATACAAAATTCAATTTTACAAATCGATTCCATTGTTATCGAGTTCTATAAATTTATTCGTACAAGAATGCAATTTAACTTAATCCTCGACACAAAACTTAAGTATATGCAAGTTTAAATAAATTAGTGTTTCATAAGTTAACATTGCGAAGGTCAGAGCCGGCTGAAAGATGGAGACTTTCAAATATTTGATATGACATAAAAGTATGAGTTAAGTAAGATTTAAGGTTATTGAATTTGGAACCTGTTCTGCTATTGGAACTGTAATATTGACAAGCCTTCACCCCGGTCGTGTCACGTGTCGTTATAAACAAATATTATTCTTTTATAATCTTAAGTGCTATGACAAATATTTAAAAAATATGATAATTTTAACGGCAGCTTATATTATAAACCTGAATTAGGGTTGTAAGTAACCAAGGTAGTTAATTTTGACTTGTGAGGGTTTCCGAACTATGTTTTCCCTCACCATAGAAACGAATTCATGACAAGAGAGCTTTTCTTAGAAACTACTATTTTGATTTGATTTCTCACTTCTGCGTATTCTAATGAAATATTTATAAAAGGCAGTGTGGTAACCATTGTTACGAAACGGACCCTTAAATTAAGTTATCTTAATTTGTCGACCTCTGACTTTTAATTAAATTGTCATGAGAACTAAACTAATTATACTATTATTTTTTTTTAAATTATATTTTCTTCTTAAAAATATAAGATAAAAATTGTTAATAAATGACTGTATTAAATGAGTAATTGTTACTCACAGCATTAACGGCACGCTTGAGATGCGTATCTGTAAAACATTTGCACAATGAAACGCTACTTATCTGTTAAGATCTGGTTAAATAGATTATGAAATTACTTTTGGAATTTAGCTCGTGCTCTTTATCACGGTTTTTAAATTTAAAATAACCTTTACCCTCTTAACTGTAATTCGTAAAGGTATAATTTTTCTCTCAAAGGATAACAAATTAATTGTTAAAAATAATTAATGATTTCTTATACTTCTTAAAAGAAATTTAAATAACGGAAATCTTAGTTGGTTGAGTCATTTCGTTATAAAAACAGTGAAATTTCACGGTTACTTGAACGGGGTCAAACAAACTCTTCAGCTTTTTCATTAGATAGTTAATAATGAAGTGGTATTGTAGAAGATATGTTATAAGCGTTACAAAGGCTTTTGTCGTCCGACTGTCGGTTGCGAAATGCCGCGACGCATAGTTGTATTATGGATCTGTGTCAACGGATCCCAAGCGATGACCAACACGCAACAAATTGAATACGAATTGGTGAAAAAAGAGTTAAGTAAACGGAAGTTTTGCTGCTTTAATTTATTTAAAAAACTTAGCCTGTGTACTATTACGGACAGCCATGGTACAAATTTTATTCAAATCCGATCCGTTATTAAGTTAAATAATAACAAACTCGATACATTTTCGACTTTATAATGTGAGTAAAACCACTGGATTTAAAATTGCTTTTTAAATACCTAATTCCAGTAAATTTAGTTACCTGGAAGTTTTTTTATTATTAATTTGTTAGATAACAAGTTATAAAAATGTTTTATGTTGATGTTTTATAGTTAATGATGTTAGTTATTTAACATTTACGAATGTAAGAATAATGTTTAGATGTAACTGATTAATACGTTACATAATTCGTACAGTTGTCTTTATTAGTTTTAAGCTTTTTATCTATGTATTTGAATGTTACGTATAATATATCAAAAACTAAATACTGCCACTAGAGTATACTTGTGAAAAAACTATTTGAATAAGTCCAATATTAAGGTTATTTTCAAAAGTTTAGTATTATTTATTTTATACGTCGTTAGTTTAAAAAAAAACCTATTGTTATTATATACTTTTACTAAAGTTTTCTGATAAACATATTTCTAACGGTATTACTTATATGGAAAATTAATTATTTGTAGAAAACATCTTGTCAATAGGTTACACGACTAAAAACATTCTCACCATTCATTAAAACAATGTATGACTAGGTCACATGACAAAACTTAGTCGAGAGAACAAGTTAGGCGCCGTCTATTGCTTCGAACTTAGATAATCTAGTATTGTAACTTGTTTCTACACTTACATACGACTAGAAGCTTGAAATTCTAAGTTGCATTTACCTATTTTAAATATAGAATCGACGTTACATTCTTCCAGACTATGCTCTACATCTGTATAACAAATTTCATCGAAATTCATTCATCAGTTTAGGCTACAAACTCTAACAAACATCCATCCATCTAAACTTCCGCATTTATAATATTTGTAAAAAGTAAGACTGCGAAAAAGTTATCATAATTATGAAATGAAATGTAATTACCATTTCTGATAAGGTTATGCGAATGATTGTTTTTCACAGTTTTTTGCTAATAGTCGTTTTAAACTGGCTGTTAAAACAGAGATTATTATTATCAGAGATTAGCTGATCTTTTTGGATATTAATAACATAGTATACATGTATTAAATAGTACGATTGGTCTCTGTCCAAAGTTAAAACGACATTTTATTTACATGGTTATTTCTATTTCGAATGTTTAAAATACAGCGAAACAAAATAGCATAGAGCAGCATCTCGAGTCAATTGACAGCAATTTGGCTCGTCCGAATTAGCCGCATGGACAAATGGCAAGTTTGCGCAACAGTTCAAGGCTAATGCGGATTCTCTGTAGCCCAGAGAACAGACTCGCGAGAATGTGTGATAATAATTGTGTTTTTATCTAATAATTGCCGGATGTACACAAAAGCTCGTTTTACTCGTGTACACGTGACAATGTTGTTTTTGTGTTAACAAATGGAAAATTTGTTGAATACGAAAAATAAGTATCTGGTTGAAAATATTAGTCATCTCATCAGTCAATCATTCTATTAAATGTGGAGGGGTACACCGCTAGGGGTAGACCTGAAAGAGATGGATGGATTGCGTGAAAGGTCACATGATCAAGAAGGGAGTGATGACTGAGATGACGGCTGATAGAGCTATTTGGAGGACGAAAACCCGGTGTGCCGACCCTACGAGACTAGGATAAGGCAGGGGAAATGATGAAGTCTACTACAATTCTTAAAGGACTGATGATTTTGTCTTGCTACGTCTTTATACTTAACATGTTTTTTTATTAGATTAATTTACATTGAACAAACGTGAAGTATACAGGTTTAAGTGGCCGTAAAATAAGAGAAAACATCATCAATCTTGAAGTTAAAACGATGTCTGTGTGGACTTCATTTAATTTTTTTATTTCAGCATCATAAAAGTTTTTTTTTACATATCAGTAACACTTATAAGACATATTAAGGCCGTTTTAGTTTAATAAATAAATGATAAATAATTATTCCGAAACACATGCTTGTTACGATACATTTACTTTCGCTCTTTGTTCTCATTAAATCAATTGCGGTAACTACCGTTGGTAATTATTTATCTATGTTAAATGTTACTTAACATACGGGTATATGTTTAGCTTACGAAAATTGTTCAGATAGAATGTTTTAAGATGTTTAATTTTCTGAAACATTAAAATAACAGAGTTAAATATTTTATACGTATATTTCTTTTATAAGTATGGAAGTAAGCATTACAAAATGATATATTTTCTCTTACCATAGAGTTTAATAAATATTTATTCATAGGCAATAGACATGTCATAATTATTTGACAAAACTCGTCGTTTACGCGTTGATGTCTTTTATATCGCCAAACATTTCTCACGCAACACGAACGTAATCTGTCTTAATAAAAATGTAAAAAATACATAAACAAGTAACGTATTTATATGAGTTACACGCGATTATTAGCGGTAGTTGTCGGATTATAGTAATTTATCCTCGCGAGACACATCTCGGCCCACAGGCCTAGTTTTGCAAGAGGTCGCAATCAATCTTTATATCGCAAGAGTAACATACAGCCTAAACTCCGACGCCTTTGCCTCTCATGTTTATATGCACATTTGTAAGATTTTAACCAAAATTTACATTCACATATCGTTTAATATGCGTAACTTTAAAGTAAGTTTGCGCTAACCGTATTAGTTGAGAAACCTAAACTTTACGAAATCTTTTTTATTATTTTAAAATGTCTTCAGTGTGATATTATATACTAAAGATAACAAAAATCGTTAATAGTACCTTGATAGTGCGTACACTACACCACAGGTACAACCAAATAATAGTTAATGTAAATAAACCGGTAATATTGAATAGGCATTGAACTTGAGGGCCTCAACTACGATAGTGGTCACGTATTGATAATTGATTTGTTTATTGTTTACATTCAACTGTCCTACACATTTATTATCCATACAAAATGAACACACAAGTTATATAGAAGGATGGAATACATACATATATCTATACTAATATTGTAAAGAGGAAAGGTTTTGTATTTTTAGTTATTGAAATAACTCAAAAACTACTGGACCGATTTTAAAAATTCTTTTACCCTTAGAAGGGTAATTTATCTGTAAGTAACATAGGCTATGTTTTTATTTACTAATTTTACGGAGACGAAGTCGCGAGGAACAGCTAGTTCGTTGTAAGATAAGTGACATAGTAAATATAAACTATACTCGTAAGTACTAAAAAATAATTTCATATTCTATTACTATTATTATATCGACGTTCACAACATATTTATACCTGTTACATAACTGTGTTATAAAAGTTGCACGGTTAATGCATGTGTGTGTGTGTGTATGTGTGTTCCATTATATATCAATTGTTCAGATAAAAGATGGATAGTAAAGTTTCGACAATGGAATCCCACTATTACGTATTTGTCATCCATACTACTGAGAATAAGAAGACTTTAATACAGATCGCAGCGATGTCATTCAATACCATACCAATAACCATTTTATGACGTCACAATCAAGAATCGACCTCGTATAAGTCATGCGGATGTTCTTATAAACATATGGAATTAAGTAATATTTTTAAGAGAACTTAAGCTAATCTGAGTGTTTTAACTATTTCAATACTTTTATTATTCCTTAGTTAAACTAAACTTATATTCGCTTTACCAGTTGTAAAATTAAAAGAGAACAATTCATTCTCACACAAATGGCTCAATTAGGCTAAACTAATTACGAAATATGTATAAAATGGATGTTATTAGAGCGGTCGAAGTGTTCGGGATGTCAGACGGCGGCAAAGTTTGCGCAGAAACGGCACGAATTATCGTGAGCGAAGCTGACGGCCGGCCTCGGCTCGCTTGCAACACCCCCGTGGAAACACAATGCACTAAGCCTCGCACTAAATTCGCTATTGAGACATACATCTAGCCTCCATTCAGCTGTCCGAGTGAGGAATGCACTTTACAAATACGGTTTTAGACGATCATTATGTGTTTATATGCTTGTCTAAATAAAGATGACACGTTAAAAAATTTCATGTCAATTATTTTGCTTCAGACGTAAACGCCGCTGCTGCTAAAATGCTTTACCTAAGATTTTCAATGTTATTTTATGGTTATCTATTTTCCACTATTCTTTTTTTTTTGTCAATTTTACCATAACTATAATGTGTTCATCAATATTTGTAAAGGGATTAGTCCGATGACCAATTTATGTTAGAAAATATGAATATTTGTGCATTTTATGTAGTTTTGCAATTAGCAATATGGAATAGTGACCGTGACATACTGTGAATTGACGCGATGGCGCCGCTTGTCAACATTATTTATAATTACTAAAATATATTTGAATATAATTATGACAAACTGTATGTACCAGCGTTGTTTACACGGTAACCGATACACGTACAAACCGCTTATATTTTACGTCGGAAAATATAGCGTTATATTCACAAATATAACTTGTGTGTTAGTATTTTGCTCAAATGATGATTTTATTATTTTAATTGAAGGTTAATCTTAACGCTTCTAGACTGTAAAGCTAGGTTTAATTTCAATAAATATTTTAATGGAAGACGATTAAAGAGGATTAAGTTTGAATAAATATTGATGATCTGTAACGTGAAGGTATTTAAGATGCCTAAAGCCTTGATCGCACCCAGATCGATCTGAGAAACAGTATTGAGATCTGAGATGGTACATAACATTTACTAGAACATGCCTACGTACTGATGCTTTGCTAATTACACGTCGTACCGCGACCATGCTCTAAAATTAAATGCAAATTTAATGGGCTAGTATAGATATCAAATACTTCAAATATTATCTTAATAACATGTAGATAATTTTCTATTTAATTTGAAGTTATGATTTATTAAAGCTCTATTGTTATATTTAAAACAATTCATTGATTACACAAAACGTGCATTAAAGCTTTTATCTACAAAGCAGAGCTTTCATAGGTTGGTAGATAAAGGACTTCAAAAGTTTCACTTGCCGTGACACCACAGCCGAATTATCTCTACCCAAAAAAATTGTTATTCTATTTTATAAAGAGAATGAGATATATTATATGCAAATGATTCGACTGTCAACTTCACTTTTAGAAACTAAACTAAACTATACTATTATATTATTAGCACAAAAAGATATTAAACTCCTACGTAAAGATGAGATTAACATGTCAAGGTCGACACCATACTCTATGACTCCCACCATTATCCGCTTGACGACTGTTTCCGCGTCTTTGTACATATACAATAAGCTTGAATACATTGTAAGTACAAGTATACACGCACGTTAAAGTAATTAACTCAGTATAAGAAACACACACGTCATAATGCGATTACCCGTAATTTTATGTCATCGATTAATACAGAACAGTAACTTAAAGCTATTGTAACTTATTGTAAAGTAGTTATGCTATTATATTCACGTTACCATTCCGAAAAATCAAGCATATGTTCGTTTATGTAAACGTATTATTTTTTAGTCAGATCTGTCTGTTCGTTAATTCTATAAACGCTATATCATCAAGGTAATCAGTAAGTAAATAAAAAAGCATTTAAGATGATTTCATGATCACCGTCATTATTTTTTTTTTTTACTAAAAATATACTTGGCCTTCAATTTTTTTTTTTATTTTAATTAACATAACGTTGATGTAATCTGTATTTCAAGTGTATTACTAAGTGGACCCCTTAACGTTGAATTTAATACGGATATAATACTTGTCGTTGTCTACCGATAAACCTTTTGAAGAGGCTTAACATATAACTTTTCTCGAAACATATTGCTGCCACAACATTTAATGGTCATTTAGTGTCCTTAATGATTATTAAACTACTATAATTAACAACAATTACGTTATCGAGAACAGCATAGAGTAGAGAAACATCTTTAAAATAACCCTCAAAAAGATAGATTGCGACCCTCTGGAATTACGAGATCATGTACAGAGAGAAGGGAGTCCTTTAGTGTACATTCTGTTTTCTATACTAAGGGACTGCTTAAATAATTATTACGACTCAGACTGTCGTATAAATATAACACCTGAAGTTCAACAACCATTTAAGTTGATCTGCAGAGTAAATAAATGTAACAAGCAAGTTTCTTAACATTTGTAGCGCATGACATATGACATGGTTATGCTTTTACGGTTTTGTGTAAATTGGGTCGTGTTCGTCTTCGAAACACGTCGAGCAACACATTCGTACATACATATTCTCTTGCGTAATAATGCATCTTTCGATTGATCCTACTTCTAACTAATATGAATGCGAAAGTTTAGTTGGATGGATTGATGTTAGAAGATATCTCCTGAATGGCTTAACAGGTCTGGATGAAACTTTGCATAGATGTAGAGCATAGTCTGTAAGAACTCATAACCACTAATTATTCTTTTTAATTCCGCGCGGACGCAGTCTAGGGCGACAGCTAGTCTTATTGAAACAAAATAAAGGATTAATAAATAATGATAATAAAGCATAATACCAAAAAGCAACCGATGGTTAATTGTAAAAGGTACTACTATACTTTTGTGTAACGTATGCATTATTCTGTCATTTGTTTCTTTTGGTTCTAATGTTTTTTATTTGATCTTGAAACTTTCGAAATTTTAAAATAATGTTAATAAAAACACATTTAGCGTAATAACGACTAATGTATGGACTACGGTGACATTGGTTCTTCAATAAAAATTGCGCAATTTATACTATTTGTTTTAAATTTATATGAATGGAAAAGTTTTTCGTCACATGAAGTTGCACTGGCCTTCTGGAAAGGTGAGAGCGCAAATAAGAGTTCGGCGACACTTGAAATTCGAAAGTGACAACTGTGAAATACGTGGAAGCTCTTAAAATGTCAAAAGCAAACATTTATTTTTGATATAAAAATGTACAGTAATATGATCGCAAACAACGAATGTTGAAATAAATGTTATCTATTTACTTCCATAAAAATCTAAAATCAATTCATATATTTTAATCATTCTCTCTAAGAGTGTCTAAAATGTATCGATTGCCCTTTAAATGACTAATTAAGTTTTTACATTTGATGGACTAAAAATTTTAATTAGAACACTTTAGATAATGCGAATGGGATCGAGATAACTTTTGCATTTTAATAAGGCAATAATAAATTTAATTAAGTAACGTAATTGTTTTTAGATGCAGACGTGGGCGTTGGTGGTGTGCGCGGCCGCGCTGGCGGCGCTAACCGGCGCGCAGAAGCCGGGTCGCTTCCTCTCACTGCCGCAGCCGCAGAAGTGCGCCAACAGTGAGTTAAAAAACAGAAGCTTGTTAAAAGTAAAATGTCGCATAAAAGGAAAATCCCGAAGGAAGATATAAAAGCATAATTTCGCAACTTCTAATTCAGCACATCTTATTCCGGGAACGATAAGGCGTTTTTATCATAATTTTAGAATTATTATACGTTAAATGCAATATAAACACTATTGAAATAGAATTGCGGAACACATGCTTAAATAATAAACTGGATGAAAAAAGGAAAACAAGAGATCTACGGTCTAAGGTGATCTTATTAACCTTATGCCCATTAGCGGTTGACCTTGAACTGACTTTGTAGATGAAACCTCGCAGTAGACGGACGTGTAGCAATCTCCTGTTTCGAGAACGATCGTTAAATCGGCCGCGAATCGCGGATGCTGCGTCCTGTCTATTTCTTTCTTAAGTTTATATACAAAAGGTGTTTTAATAATTTATGAGAGTTTTTAATAATGAATGAAGATTTCTTATTTCGATTCATACCGATCTTAAAACAAATGCAACAACTAAGTTTTAAAGTAATTATTTTGTCAATCCATACAACTGAAACCGTGAAATGTCAACACGATCGAACGAACAATCGACACAATTCAATTCTGTTATAGAATTTAACCGTGGGTTTAAAAACTACTGGAACAGTCATCACTAGTTGAAAAAAACACAAATTTTATATAGGTCTTTTGGCAGGCACAAAGTTTCAGTGACGTCACCGTTTAAGTTTCATTGTTTAGTCCGCTTTATTCATAGAAAGTAAAAGCTCAGTTGTACAAGGTCACGGCCGCGCTCGAGGACGTTCCCTCTCTTTCCCGCAAACTTTCTCGCTCTATCCTGCACCACCTATCAACGCAAGGAAATAGCTTTTCCGTGTCTTACATAAACTTCCACATAAACACTGTATGGAAATTTTACACACTAACCATTTAAAATGTAGGTCAATCTTGATCGAGAATTATGCAATCAAAACAATGTTAGCAAATCAATTGCCTATGGAATTAGATTAGTGTTAAATTCCTCATAAGAAAAATAGGAGGTTAAAATTATATAACTTATTGAGTAATTTTTCGGCTAATAACAAATTTTTTTTTTTTACCTTACCTAACACCCAATTGTAGGTCTTACGGATAAACTGATATGTTTTGTTTGCATAAAATTGCATCACTCATCCTCTAACTATCTCTGTATCATCATCATCATCATCACCAGCTCACTATATGTCCCCACCGAGGTGCTCGAAGCCTACCCTAATTTAGCGTGATTAGGCCACACCCTGTATACCTATTGTGAAAAGACACTTCTTAAATTCTTAGTATTTTTGTTAAAAGTATCTTCAACCTAATTAAAGCTTTTGTAAACTCCGTGAAGGTGAACTGTTATGAAACGATTAAAGTATTGAATTATTCAAATCATTAAAGTAAAATGTTTAAATTACAATTTCAAATAACCATTCATACCTTGGTTTGCGATAACAGAAAGAATGAATATTTATTATCTGTTTTCATAATATCAGGTTCAATGGCACTGAGCTTGTAACTTGACTTTATAAAGGTAAAAGTCGCCTCGTAGATGAACTCGGTTGCACAATAATTATGGGGGTCGGAGAAATTGAATGAATCATGTAACACAAGATTATGGGTCACAAACTCACAAACAGCAACCGGTCCATAACATGGTAAAGGTGGGTTTCCACCACGCGTGATTCGGCATATTGACATGCTCGGACTCATTCTTAAAGAGGAATGTACCCACCGCTTATCAATTCAAACCCTTAGCGCTTTGCCACTACAATCATAATTTATTAAACAAGATTATGAAACGAAAGACGAATGTAGCATTTTCTCCATATAGATTAGAAACCTAGCTGCTGAAATCTTCGCTTTAGCATCTCGTCAATAAGCTAGAAATTTTGTCGGCTCACGGCGTTCAGATAACAGACAATGCCTCGTGGAAACCCATCTTAAGATTGTCCACGTGCAGCTAAACCGCATACCATAAATGTCAACGTAACATGTAATGATTACAAAAGACACAAATAACATTCGAATAAACAAACCTGTCGTGTCGAGTTTTTGTCTATGTCGAGACACCTTGTCCTCGTAAAGGCAATAATGGGACATAACAACTCTAGCTATTATTTAAAAATATAAAGTACTAGCTTTTGCCCGCGACTCCATCCGAATGGAAATAAAAAAAAGTAAGTAGTCTATGGGTTCTTCCAGACTATCCTCTACATCTATACCAAATTTCATCGATATCCATTCAGCCGTTTAAGCTACAAACTCTAACAAACATCCATCCATCCATCTATCCATCTAAACTTTCGCATTTAGTACGATTAGTAAGATTATAACACGAAAACCGCGTCAATTTTATCTCTACCAGTATAATACATTATTTTTATGTTTTAAAATATAGTAATGAGTTCCTTAATATTACTAAATAAGTAAAACCATTGAATAAACCCTAACAATACTTATCCGAACAAAGATCACATAGTCAGCATTATGAATTAATAAAATATCTAGTTCAAATGTTACTAAAAATATTTCTTTGTTGTGTAGAAACATACTAGTTAATTTTAATCCTTTCACTTGTTAGAGTGAAGAAATATAAGTTTTAAACCAAACTTATAATGAAATAGCGCAAATAATATCAACTTTATATTCATATATTCATAATCGTGTAAGATTTAACTAAGTAAATGTGGAATATTATTCACATAAGATGGTATTTTTACCACATATATGGCAACAATATTAAAATAAGTTTAATTAGTATATCTAAATACTATCTTTGGAATAATATAAAAAGTATTATCGCGATCAGTGTGACTTCCGGCCGGAACAATATTATGGACTTTTTATATACTACTTTGTAAATATAGATTTCTTCCGACATGTAATCGTTTCGCTATAATAATATAAAACGTTTTGTAGTATTTATAAGTTAATTAAACATAGCCATATAGCAACATTCCTCATCAGCTCCCTAATCTTAGCCTACTCCCGTAGGGTCGGCGTACCGGGTTTTTGTCCTCCAAATAACTAATCATCCGTCATCTCAGTCATCACTACCTTCTTGATCATGTCACCTTACAAGCAATCCATTTCTTTCTAGGTTTACCTACACCGCTGTACCCCTCCACATTTATACCTAACGTCCTTCTTGCTACATTCGATTCATCCCTTCTCATAACATGCCCATACCTAATGCAACATTCCTAATTTTATCAAATTCTTAACCAATTAATATACATCTTACATCTATGTAATCAACACATATTGAGTTTTTCACACACATAGTTACAACACTCACATACAGTAACTATAAAATTAAAATATACATTTGAGTCTATAGTTTTGTGAACTCGACAACTTCGCAACATTGACAAGCGAGTACATCTTTATAGCTTCGCGTTCTCTCATTTTAATGGCAGTCAATAACTTTTGTGACGGGCCAACGTGATCAGTTTGGTCTCAGGGACGCCCCGATTCGATCACGAACCTCAATTACACCAATTAAGTAAGCCATGACGATATCCGATCATTTTATTCCAAATCATTCAGTACACTTGTGATTGGAAATTTTATAGTTTTTACACTAAATACTGACAATGAAAAGTTGTTGATGCTGTCGTTACAATGAGAGTGGCAGCCGCTTTCAAAGACTTTAATGTTTAAATGACGTTTTACGGAAGACACTAAAGAGCTTTCTTAAGTAACAATCAAACGACAACAGCAATTATAAATGTTCATTATTTTAAATATTTCGTTAAACAAGTTACTTAATCCGAAATCCAAAGAAGTGCTTCTATTGACTACAGTTACGAATCATTTTATAACATCTATAAAATGAAACACAAGACATTGTATGCCGGTGCGATTAATTATTTCGTCAGTAAATAAAGGTTATTTTATATCAATAGTTTGTTAACCAATAAAAGTTTCAACACGACGATAACGCAGGCGGCGAGACGCAAGAAACAATGTCTCTAATACAAATAATACTTACTCGAATAAGATATACGAATACATGAAAGTTTAAATGATATACGGTAGCAAAAAGTATCGATTCATTGTTGTAAATAAAGTTATTAAAATTATGTAAAAACTCTCTGGAATAGTTATAAAAATAGATATAAAAAATTGTCATATCATTATAGTATTTTTTTAACTTCTAATAATATTTTCTGAATGAAAAGTTAATTTCGCAACGAAGCCTTCATCAAATTGCCTTTCAATATTAGTTCAAATCAATGGATGATATTTTACCTCCAACTTTAAACTTTAAAGTTCTTAAATACCTTTAAGGTAGTTACGATATATATTACTTTATGATTGTTTCGTTTGCAATAGTTTTGCAACTAAGTAGAGTTTAGAATATTCAATAGTATTCAGACCGTTTGTTGATATTAAAACTTTTGTCTCCTCTTAAGAAAATATACGGAAGAATAGCTTCAATCTTTTAAATCTCATTTAGAACAACCGCAGACATACTAATATTGATTAGTTAAGAATTGTCTCAAACATGTAAAATCATTATACGACACCATTGACGGATTCGGAGCCTATCCTAAGTTAGAGGTGGCTAGGCCACATAACTACGGTAGCCCAGTGCGAGTTGGTTAACTTCACAGTTACTTGCAGCTTTTATTTCGAATGATATATGCAAATTGAATCACGGTGTTATCCTTCGCCGTCGGATAATACACATGAAATTCGAAAATTGAAAGATAGACTGGTACATGGCGGGAATCGAACCTGGACTTATAGCTATGGTCTGATTAGGCCCTTAACACTGCGTAACTGACGCTCATTCTCTACCATAAAAAAGATCACGAACTCGACTTCAACTCGAATTTAGTACTAAGTATATCATAATAACAGTAATTTTTTCATACAGAAAAGTTAGGGCTTAGATTCTTGTGTTAATCCTTGACCTTCGTTTTGCCGATTCAAGTTATGTGTGAAAATTTCAATAAGTGAATTTGCATAATTACTCGAGACCTTATCACGGAATGCATACATCCGCCGAATACAGAGTTATCTGATAAAGTCTTTTGAGTATAATGAGCTATTCAAAGCAAAGTACGTAAGATTCGCGAGTATTGTTCTCAAAGTTGCGTGTACAGTCACCGGTAACAATCGCACATCCGTCTGTCACCGCACAAGGTCCTTATTCAAAAATAATTGTACGCCGTGCGAATGCGAATCCAAACACGCTGGTACAATCACGCCTCTAAACTTAATGCAATGACCTGTAATTATTGTACTTAGTAATGACACGTTCACGTATTAGTTTGTTCAGATATGTTTCTTAGTGTTTGATTTTTTAAAATTAAAAGCAATCAATAAATTATCACGAGATATATTTTACGTTACCATAATTTGACCGTTAACTGCAACGAATTGCTCAATTTATTCAAAAAATCAATAAGGGCAAATGAATTTACACAAGTAATTTGTAATGCAAAATCTTGAATAGTAAAATCAATTTTTATTGCAAAAAATATAACCTACGTATCCCAATAAAGAAATGTTACAAAGAATATTGTTTTTATTAAAAAAAAATCATTAATGTATTTCCTTATACATAAACAAACCGGAAAACATCGCTCGTAAGTATAGTATGCACATTTTATCCTAATACAGCAGCTTCCGAGGAAATTGAAAAACTATATATTTCCTTAATAGTATTGAAATAAAAACGATAAGTAAACATACATTTTGACCATATAAAACAAAGTTTTAAAAAAGTTGACTGCATAGTATCGTATAATTTATCTACAATATTTACTCGTATGTACCTCAAAGTATCTTAGTATCCTGTATTACAAACACTCAGCAAAGAATACGTAGTCGATAAACAGGCATGTCATGTTCTTGTAACGTAACTTTTGTCCAACGAATTACATCATAAAGGTTGTTATGTAAAAGTTCGTTGCGATTGCGACATCTAGTGTAATTAGCACGAATTGTTTAGGGAAACTTCAATGTCACGACCATGATTGTGTTGGGTACACGACCCGATGCGCAGGGTCGATGTCTATTAACTTTGTATACCCGTGTAAATTATTACTCTGCTATTCGTGCCGTGTTACGTGAGGTCATATTACGTAGCTGTGTCCTTTGACTGTTTGTCGTTTGCGAGCATCGAATTTTGATGCAGAATTACCAATATATTCAACGTTGTTTAAAAGAATCACGTTTTAATGTAGCGGTTTCGACGGTATTGGACTTTTAATAATTGAGTATTTTTAAAACAAATACATCTCTGTACTTTAGGTTACTCTCTTTTTGTAACTGAAACTTTTTTGGTAATAAAAATTATATAAACACTAGAGATCGTGTCGTGATTTTTTTTTACTCTTTATAGGACCAAAGGAATTTTTCTACCGCGGCCATAACTACTTCTTCACGGGACACGTGCCCTCGCTCGCCAACAAGAAGTTCGACTGGCTGGACGGACGCAACATCTGCCGCGAGTACTGCATGGACCTCGTATCCATGGAAACGCAGGAGGAGAATAATCTCATCTTCAAACTTATACAGACGAGTAAGATACACAGTTTTTATGTTAGTCTCTGCCACATTTAGACATAGAGTGATACTTATAGTTTTAGAAAGATAAATCTACGCTAAAAGTTCCCTTAATAACTTTTGAGTGCGGCAGTTCGTATTGTGTTAATTAGTCTACTTTTTAGTTATCTTTAGATTTTCTTTATTTTTGTTTAATAATGTAGATCTTTGTTTTAAATAATGAACATGAAATCGTATATCGAAAATAATTCATTCTGTGAAGATTATTGTCACAAAAATTGCAAGAAAATATTATTATGTTGCTAAAAGTAATATGTTTATGTAAAACTTTCACTTTCTGCTTTTACTTTTACTTAGTATTGAAGTATCTATTGTATATTATCTAAGTCTATTGTATACTATTTGATGGCCGTGTCCTTCCTGGCTTCTGTTTATCGATTTGATTCCAAGGCAGCGACGACATAATACAACACAAGATATTCATACATTAAGCATTCCCGAAAGTCGTGAACAAAAAATAAAGAAACAGATGAATAACGAACTTCCTTTTTAGAAATCGATTATAATGATATTATAAAAAGACTACTATTTATGATATCCATTAAAGTTATAATAATTGTAGTTGCTCATTAATGTATTTTTTTACAGACGACATACCTTACATTTGGACATCTGGTCGTCTCTGCGACTTCAAGGGTTGCGAGTCTCGCAAAGACCTCGAACCGAAGAACATCTTCGGGTGGTTCTGGTCCGCGAACAGGGAAAAGATGTCGCCCACCAACCAGGTCTGTTGATATTCTTTTTATTTACTTCCATTTTCAATACTATCTAAACACTATACGGTCAGTCGAAATTTAAATAATAGGTGTCGTTCGGAAACAGTTGGCAACGCCATCTATCTATTCCAATTGACATTACCCGTGAACTACTCAAGTAAGCGTAACATAGAGACAAAAGGTTATCAAAAACGTAAATTTATGCAATTTCAATACTTATTATAATCAATTTCTCAGATTCCCAACGGTTGGGGTTACAACCCTTGGTCTCAAACCGGTCACAAGAAACAGCGTCAGCCTGACAACGCGGAGTTTGACATCAACGGTACTACAGAATCCTGCTTGAGCATTCTCAACAACGTATACAATGACGGCATCGCGTGGCACGACGTCGCCTGCTACCACGAAAAACCCGTCGTCTGCGAGGACTCTGAAGAACTTCTTAATTACGTCGCCAGTACCAACCCTGGCTTACGTCTGTGATTTAAACCTACATTTTAAGGTCACGTATTAGGCAATTTCAAATTTCGAACAGGTTATAAGGATTTCATAGACAATCCAAACTATTTTTTTTATTTTTATTTTAAAAATTATTCTGACCCGTTTTAGGCTGTACACTCGTAATGTTCATTTACTGCCGTTTTAAAAGTTATCAAAGAATCAATGAATTTTAAAATAACTGTTTTTACCTACAATTGTTATTTTACATTGGAACTTGCCACAGATTGGATAGTGATCTCTTCCAGCCGCACTGCCTGAATACCGTCGTACATTATGTACAGAATATAATTTAAGACTTACGTAAGTTTAACTAAGTGTATTTACATAAGGGAAGAATTTCTATTTGTATATAAAATAAAACTTTTAGAAAAATAATTGGTTTTATTCAAAACACCTTTATACTTTTATAAACAAAAACTTAACATCAACATGGAGAATGTTATGAATTTTGACAATGTTTGCAAAAAGAAGTATTAATATCAATAAGATATACTTGAAAACATAAGTGATACCATTTTTTTAATTACAAAAATAAAAAAAAAACAGCAGAAAGAAATCACCGTCACTGATTCCGATGACCGCCATTCCAGATGGCAGGCGTTAATTTCGAGATAGTCAATCAATTTCGAGCATAACAATTTATACTTAATATAAAAAAATTAAAACACTAATGCAAATATCTTCGTGTTGTTATTCCACATCCGATTCCTTTTAAATCGTGGTCTTTGTAACGCTCGCAAATATTCAGATCTCGAATCTTATTTAATAATATTTTTAAAGCATTATATTCTCGACCGTGCAGAGTTATATTCATATCGGCATATTTTTCGATTTCATCGTGCGTTAATTTGTAAACATTTTTCTCTTTTTCAACATCAAGCACAGTGCTGCCATCAAGTACAGTGCTGCCATCTATTGAGCTTTCGTCGGAATTTGGATTTAATGCGAACTCCGGTTTTTGAGTACAGATGGCGCTGTACTGATATAAATTAGTTTCCAAATTAATCACAGGAATATTTGAATCTATAACGTTTGGTTTTAAAAAACATGCACGATGTTTACGTCGACTTGTATAGAAATTTCCTAAATCTGTAAAGAAAAAAGGTACATTATTATGAAACAGCCACAGAAAATAAATATTCAAACAATTACAAAAAAAATCTTACTATTTATGTATGCACTTTTATTACACTCTAAAAACACAGGCCATAATTCTAATTCGTGAATGAAGTTCTTCAGGCGATTGCCTGGCATTTCTAGATATAAGTCTCCCAATATCTGCAAAATGCAATACATATACATTTAGTAAGATTTAGTAATTCATCAACTGAGCTAAATATTTTAGTCACCTCTATCTCAATAAGAAATCTTTGCCAAAAAGGAAATCACTAAACATAGTTTTCTTTAGATTAAAAACCTGTACTATTACTAATCAGTAACTATGGTAAATTATTTATGAACAAAAACAATAAGTCTTGAATCGAAGAACATATTGCTAACTGTTTATAATTTAAACAAATTTGATAAAAAACATGTTGAGAATTAAGATTTATGAAGCAAATGTAAAATTAAAGTTTTAAAGTGTCATTATAATTATAATTTATTTTAATGACACAATATTAATTAACAAATAAATAAATAAAAGCACAAACCACATCATTGTATTTCGTTGTCATCAATGCAAGAGGTACAAAATAAGTGTTTCTAGCATTGTTTATCAATTCCTGGGCTTTTTCAATGGCCCCCTTGTTCCATTCAGTGGTAACACCATTTGTTATCTGACACTCTTGACTGATTACCTATATTCAAAAGACATATTGAATCATAACATAATAATGTTAAATAATTTAAACATACAAAATCTATTTTATTAAACATTTCAAATGTAATGTAACAAAATATATTCAAGCATCTATGTTTCACATTACCAAATACATCAACCATTTTATTTTAAAGCAGATTTAAATGTCTTAAATATTGAGAAATTAAAAACTCATAAATCTCCTACAAATTAGTACTCAATTTGCATTTGAAATAGGACTGAACAGTTTTCAAGTAATAAATTTAGCTAATTTTGATTATAGATGAAATATTTATAAAAGTAATTTGGTTTTTGATAAACTTACCTTGTCAACTGGAACAACTCCATGTACACTAGCTTCGAAAATAATACTCGGGTACGTTTTGTAACGCTGAGGCAGGTCGACGTAAATAGTATCCTTATCAGGACGCAAAAATGTACCGTGATCGATTAGCCAAATCAAAAACCGATTTTCCATAGAAATTATACCCCGAGTCCATTTATTTTTCCACATTACTGCAACATACTGAAAAAGATATTTATTAAAATGTATAAAACATATATTCTTCTAGAAACAGTTTATTTTTCTTACCTGTCCGTGGTTAACGTTAGAAACATCATAAGAAAGTTTGTCGAACGTGGTGTAATCATCGAGATTAATATTTTCACTAATTGCACCTTTAACATAACAAAAAAATGAAAAAGGGTTTGTAAACGTGGTAATAACGATATCCATTGTTATTATTTACAGTCCTTTTGGTAGCTTTTGTTAATTAATCGTAACAGTAGTTTTTAATTTCTTCTGCGAATTGCTGGGAGGGTAGCAGGGGGGGCGGAAACGTTTGAGATTTGTCGAGTTAAGAATGAGTCAAAATACTACGAAGTACTTTTTAAATATACAAATGTATTTAAAATGTCCGCTACAATTACAATACATCTAATTAAAGTTTATATTCAAATCGCGAAATGTGCCTTCTTATTTTTTTAATATAAATTGTTTATTTAATATCAAGAAAACAAAACAAGCGTTTAATCAATTACTACCGTATGTCAAAAATGTGTCGAAAAGGAATAGAATTTGATTTTATTTTTTAAGAAATTGTAATCACAACAAAGATTTTACGTGGATGTAAGCGATGCGTTTGTGTTTAATACACATTAATGCGTTTTCATATTTTGTTCATTTTAATTGTAATTTAAAGGGTAGTTTTAAATTTTAAATTAGTAACTTTTGGAACTGTAATATGGCAGATCTTTCATAAGGGACGCGTAGACCGCTCTTCGAGGAATTTGCTAAGACAGAGACAGTAATATTGTATGATGGCTTCTAGACCCAGTTATGATTATGTGAATTAAAATGAAGTCAAACAGATTATAGTATTTGTTTGATGTTGTTTGTACAGGTATGTTCATATTTTCAACATCATATGATTTAGTTAAAATGTTAATTGCTAAGAGTAGTCATTGTAATGTTGTTTTTTGATTGTTTTATTTAAAAACTAAATTATAAAACGTATTATATTGGGACACACTATTATTTTCCACTCGTTTGACCTACTACGTTTAATCTTTGAAGCGCCTTGAGAAATATCAATAGTAAATATGTATATAAAAGAGATGATCGATAAAAAAGTAAAACGTGCTTAAGCAATATCTATTTCATGATATATTGATAGGTACAACCGTAGTGTATCGTTGCTACACCATGCTTCAACGGGGATTCGACTTGTATACTGTTTGAATGTCTGCGATGGCGTGGCATCGCGTTTTACGGAAGCATTGAACGTGGTTTGGTTACGGATTGCTTGACGAGGTGCAGCGAGGCAGTACTGAAGTGATGAATTCACTTAATAAATACTGTTTAAAGAAAATTTTAAAAATCTTAACTCTTTTTACAACTTGTATTTAAAAATATTATTTCGATAACGAATTATGACAATGTCTCCTCAATGACAAGTACGATTGAACCATTCTTTTATCGAATTTGTATTCTACTTTCAATGTACCTTCAGATATCAATGGTTGGCAGATGAGCTCTTCTACGGTTGTCGGTACTCCAGTTATCCGAGGACGGTCTTTTATTCGATTTATTTTATACTTACATCTAGCTTTACCTACCTTTTGGACTTAAAGTAGGGCAGTGGTGAATGATCTCGAACCGAGCCGACCATTGAGCCCTCGTATTTCATTATATTTTACATCAAGTTTTTACCTCGTATGAGTTGATGCGGTTTTAAAATTTATCTGTATAAATTTCGATGAACTAAAATTATTGTTATCCATATATCTTTAATTAACTTTTAATTTTTATTTTTATTTGTGTTTTCTATACAGATCAACAATGACAACTTCTCTTCATTCCTGTACAGGATACCAAATCTTGGTACAACACACCCCATGTCTTTTACAGCGGAGGCGGCTTGAAAATCAATACTCGCTGTCTTGAGGCAACGCTAAGGTATCCATCACTTCATCTTATCCCTTGGGCGTGGTATACATGACTGAAGGAACAAATTAACTTACAATAAACGCTAACTACGGAAAATAACAGTGTCATAGCTCCAAGGTAGTGTTTAACTCTCGCTGGCAATTGTTAGAAAACTTGTTCAACTGTTTCCTTTATACGTAACTCGTCACGAAGAAGGATAAATGATTTATGATATTTCAATGTATTTGTACTTATTGAACTTGTAGCAAACCTTGTACTATTGGATTGTTTTTTAAGTTTGAATAACTGATTAGTACGTTTCCATTTACTATCCTTTGCAATGTTTTCATTTAAAAAGTATTATAAGCTAAAAGTGCAAGTTTTGGAAAACAGATAAGCTGGAATACTAAGCAAGATAAATTGTAACGTTGTTCAATAATAGAAATGTAAACAGAAGCATTTCAATCTTATCGTTAAATACAAAGCCTTTTTTGATTTAATATACCTTTGATTTTGTTGTTTTTGAGCAAAAAAAAAACTTTATTTTTTTCTAATGTGCGACCGCCTAGCAGAGGTCCCCTGCGGAATTACGATCTAGGTCGTAGGCGTGGTGTAAAAATCATTTGCTCTATTTGTCTCTAGCATGAGGGCTAAGCGTATGTCACGTTGTCACGTTGCATTCAAACACGTTCATTGAAACTCTCATACTGATTCGTTAATCTACTTCGCTTGAGATAAATATAATTTATCGTTTAGTATATTCAATTAGATTATTTAAAAAGTATTCGACAGTTTTTTGCCTCCATTTACTTATTTAGTCGCCAAATGACGCCCTTAATCTTTCTGTTACCAACTTAACCTACAATCTCATTTAATTAAAGTATTTATGTTGCCGAAGTTTGGTGGTAGTTTGCCTATCTTATACTAGTCTATTTCTAAAGTACTACCTTTGATCTGATATTCAGTTCCACGTTATATTTAAAAATAGATCCAGTTAGTAGTCCGTCTTCCCTGCCTCCATTTGACCTATTTCATCGACAAGCAGCGGCTATTCATCGGAGTGGTCAGGGTCGGCCAGCTGCCACTGTTGAGGTCCGTAGGCCGTTTTACATTTTTTATCAAACGACTCGAGGGCGCACTACCCAGTTTAAAACCAAAATATGTACCATTCCGATAGCAATGCATGAGTAGGCTTGGCAGATTCCCAAAATATGACATAAAGACGTTTTAAAATATTACACTTGACATAATTGCAGATGGAGGATTAAAAAAAGATTTTTTTTTCATAATCACGGTATTTCAAAATAGTGTACTCACTTATCTTAAGTCTCCTAAAATCTTCGCCTCATATTCAACCCAATGCAACACGTATGATAACAACATTTTGATACAAAGGTTTAGAACAAAGAAACGAGACGTGATGACTGAGTTCCTTCGTTAAATATAGGAAATTTGAGTTTTATAATCGCGGGAGCTTTACGCTAGATCAAACAATTTATGCTTTTCTGTCTACCCTAGTTAATTAACAGGCTCGTTGAAACTGAATATTTGTACAGAAACTTTCTAATTGACTCTTATAACTTTGTTGCGCAACAATTATTTATTCGATAAGAGCATACATAGGTACTAATTATATTGCAAACGGACAGTTGTTCCAAAATCCTTTCCGTGAGCAAAGAGCTGTGCCCATTCCATCGGGAACATCGAGATATCGATCTTGAAACCGGGACGACCACGCAGACCCGCAGCGTGGCGACTATCCAACTCTAAAAGCTTTACTGCCTTATAAGCCCTTTAACGTGATTACTCAACAACCAACCTACGTATGGCAACATTTATTGAGAAATCTTAGTTACTGTGCAACAAGAACGATTCAACAGTACCTTGTTAAAAGCAGTATCGCACTCAATCGACTTTGGAAGTCAACTAGGGTATCGTAATAAACAGTTTTACGTCTCTTATCATTGCAATTAGTTACGAGATACCCTGACATTCGTTGCCACCACAACACATTGTACTATCACATTATATGTTACGTATACTTGGCAGTAGTCTGAATACAGGGTTTTTACTTGTTAATCAGTGTCATAGACCTGATAATGTTATGTTTATGAATACTGCAAGACGAATGCGTGGTCGCAGAAGCCGCGGTCCGGGTCGGCGGGGTCACGCAGAGGTGACGGTGAGCGAGTGCGTGACGCGGGCGGGCAGCGGGCGGCGGTGGCATGGCGGTGGAAGCGGCCCGGCGGCTCTCCCGACGGCGGCGCGGCGGCCGAGGCGGCGGGCGCACGCACGGAATGCAGCGCGGGTCGGGGTGCGCGGGGCGCGCGCGGGGGCCGCTGCTGCCGCGGCGACGCTCGCTGCTGCCCGCGCCCGCCTCAGTCAGCCGCGCGCCACCGACACGAGTGCCGTTCGAGTCGCGCGACGCCCACTCCGTCGACATCGACACGCAGGTATGTATTGTAAACATTTAGCGAACTTCCCGCTTCTTCCCCGCTCGTCGCAACCGGTGAGAGTCGAACTATTTCGACCCGATCCTGTCATTCCAGAAATAGCCGGTGGACACCGACCACCGTCGTCCTCGAGCGGGTGGCGGGCGCGACGACCCGTCGAACTCGTGCGTTCGCCAAAAGAGAATCCCTAAATACTTTCCGGTCATCGCTTCTGCGGGTTTATCAGTGTTACATATTTATTATTTGTCGGCGGTGAGGTCAGCGGGCGCGCGCGGCGATGTGTGCCTTATCTCGAGCGGCGTAGGGTCGCAGCCGGCACCGCGGTCGCTGCGTCGTCGACGCGGGCGCGCCCGACCTCGGGCTTTGCTCTGCTCCGTCTTCGCTGTGCTCTTGCGTCGTTCCTATTAACTGTAGCCGCCTACAAAACGACTATACACCTACGGTGTCGCTTATATAGTATAGCACGTATGGCCGATCAAAGCGACGCCGCCATCAGTGGCACGATCTGGCTGCACGACTTCAACAATTACCATTGTGCTGAGCGAGGGTGCTAAGATTCTTATCTGTTGACATGAGGTAGTTATTATGTATTTGCGAAAAAATGTGTCGTCCGAACTCGTCCTCGTAGGTTATTCTTCGCATTGATTACTATTATCTGTCTCAAACCAACTAATGAGTCGCACGGTACGCTTCGTGAATGACACACGTCTGGTCCGGTTATGACGTTACCACAGAAACATTGCTAATACGTATAAGGCGTTACAAAATCATTTGATTCCGCTGACGGTTGAGGATGCCGGCCGCGCGCACGCCAGTCTTCAGTATTGTAGTAGCGACAATAATAAGTGAAAACGTGACTTACTCATGTAAACTCGCAAATACTTATACACTTCTATAGCATTGTTTCCATGAATATCGAAATCGTTTGCGGGTTGCGTATGTTGAATGTGAAGGCCTAAGTATTAAATACATTTACGAAAAATAATGGACGTAATCTTGTTTGGTAACTAAGATATAGATACCTCGAGGTCGGCGTACGTACGACTTGCCCGGTGACGAGGGATCCGGTGTTCGCCGTCCGGAATCGTCTTCAGCAGCACGTTTTGTGCGTGTTAAAATCATTGATTTGCGAATAACGCCTTTATTCTGAAGACATCATGTATTCAAATCCCCTAACGTAATCACGATACTTAATACGCCCTAGGCACATCATTGAAAGAGCTCTCCTCGTCACAAAATGGTACTTTACTCAAATCTGGCCCTTAATCACATTGTCCGAAGGGCGAATTCTGTTTGAATACGTGAGACGTTAACAGTGTTTCGTTGCCGAGACCGAGATCCCCGACGCATAAGAGAGTGAAAGTCGGGGGTGGGTGACAGGCGAGGCGGGCGGCGGCGCTCCCCACAGGAGTGGTCGACCCGGGACTTCCAACTAGGATTTGCTAAATCTGCTGCTTTTACGGCGAGGCCGTCGAAAAAGTAAATTACCGTGTTACGTCAACGTTCGCATCGACAACCGCATAGGTACAAAATAAAAACCACCGATTGTGAGAATGTTCTAATCCAATATAAACATTTAAAAAAATAAACATCATTGTTTAAAAAATGGCAAAGCTACAAACGTATAACATGTAGGTTCTGGGTTCGACATGTAACTTCCATACAAATTCTTTTATGACTTCTGGTTTCAGTGCTAATATGTTCAAAATTGGATTAAAATCCATCAGCTCACAAGTTTTTAAATCAGTGGAAGAGTAACGCTAAATTAAAACTAAAACGTGTGGTACTCGGGAGCATGGAGTCACATAATACCGTGAAATATTAGTCTGCCCCTTCGATCCGATAATTACTGCCCACCAAAGAAAAATGACAAGATCTTTTTGAAGTAAATATGAGTATGGATATGGACAACCAAATCCTTTTTTAAAGTTTCGTTTTATGGATCAGAATAAATCTGACTACAGTAACATGTAGCAATTGGTACCTATAGAGGAAATTCGAACGTCCTTGTCTGCGGCTTGGATGAAGGTCTCGAGTCTCGACAGACCCGCCCCGACAACCTTTGTGCTTAAACATTGTATAGCGACGACCCTTTTCATCAGAAATACTCTAAGAAATTACAATAGAAGCAGTGACTATTTAAATTCGATAACTTTCTGCTAGTTTAATGACATAGTTGTTGTTCCTATTCGTACCTTCAAGAATTAAAAAGACATTAATAGAATAGATAATTCATTTGTTCACCTAATATCGATGTATTACTATTTCTTAATACTCACTACAAAAAAGCATTTGCATCTATGTGACGATTACTACGACAGCACTAATAATCTCCCCTTTTACTTAAAAAGTAGTATCAAGCGATCATATAATACAGAATAGTATTATATTTAATTTCTTTAGCCATTTTTCTTATGTATGACTTTTATATGTAAAGCAATCAATACGATATAAAACGATGTTAATATTTGCTTTATACATCTCGACAGAAAGCTCACCGCGCTCTTTAAAATTGTTTTATTTGAACTACAATAAAACTTCGTTTATGACAACCGTTTTAAGAAATCAAAGAGAACCGACAAACCAAAACAACACCGCTTGTAACATGTGTTTTGGAAGATATAAGAATGGTAAATAAAATTAAGTTTATGTAATGGAGCTATTCAATTTTTAATTTAATTTCGTTTATATACTTCTTATTTTCAATTATTTTTGCCCTTTGTTCCTTTCAACTATGTTTGTCATTGTTAACCGATTAAGTTTTTTAATTTCCAATATACATTTAGCATTATACTCAAGGGTTGAAAAATATCGCATCACTTTACGTATGATTGCTTTTATTGTTGATACCGGAACATGAGTCGTATTTTGCACACCAGCTATAGTAACGTTCGCTTTGACCCCTATTTGGTTGGATGACCTCTAGCGACATTCTCCAATATCCGCTTCCGTCCTTCAAAACGCGGAATACTACGAAAATCTCTTATTAGGTACAATACTTTTTTGACCTCAAGTTATAAACAGCAAGTAGGTGTTTTTCTAGAATAACATGTTTCGGTAAAAGAATATTAAGGGTGTATCCCGCCACTGGCTGATAGAGTTATAGATAGCTTAAAAATGACGTCACTACTAAGGTAACAAAATCACATATTTTACAAGTTGGATTGTTATTTACAATTTGGTGGGACAGGCCCCTAGTTTTTGTATCTTATTGTTTAATAGCAAGTTATAAGTTGACAATTTTTGGTGTATTCTATCACTGGTACGTCCATATATGCGGTGTAACATAATACTTTTTGTTCGTACATTCAACACAAGGCAGTTTTACAAGTTACCACATAAAATGTACACACAGCATGTCGTGCCCAGCACTTCTTTGAAGCCGTAATTTCTTAAACATTAAGTCGGTGGCGTGCTGAGGCAAAACAAGAAGTTACCGCGATAAAAGGTTGCAGCTACGACGTTTATGCCAACCTTAAAAGTACATGCAAAAACACGAAACAAAAGTCATATTCTATCGCGTGATGCGTATACTATTCTTGATTCTTATAATTTTGCGTCGCCTAAGCATATCAATAAGTATGAAAACAATTAAAAGTTATTATTTTGCTCATCAAAAAATATTTTTGTTACACTCCCAGTCTATTGCAATGTGTACTTCGTCCAAGTTGAACTCGGGACAGGAATAAAAAAAATAAATAACGCATTTTGCTTACATTGCTCTTTTATTGTTAAGTTGTAAGTTATTGATTTCTTATTTTTTTAACTATTAAAAAAAGAACCGAGTAAAACAGTTGTAGCTCCAATTTACGAGATATTTATGGCAAGGTCCGACAACCTTGGGGCCCACTTCTAATATATGAGATTATATTAATCTTTTTTGATTATAATTCAATCGAACTTGCGATTGTAACTCCGACCTTATATAGTGATTACCGGAAACTTAAACTAAAAAAAGGAACAAGAAACGTCTTTCATTACACTGTAGTTAATTTGCTGTGATAAGATTTAACGTGATCTATTTATAACAACATAATGACATCCCAAAGTCGAAGAGTTGGTAACAACACCTGCATTAGACGGTTGAATAATTCGCGTGTGTGTCTGTGAGGTTGTCGTCAAGCGCACCTCGGCGCCCGCCGCGCCCCCCGCGACCGCTACGCCCCCCGCGACCGCCGCACCCGCCACGCCCGCCGCGTCGCCCGAGCGGCGGCGGCAGCTGCAATGCAGCTGGCGTCTGCTTTTTCTCGTTTTGCTGCACCGACGGACAGAGTTGCGCTATACATGTATAGCTAGCGCACACGGCCCTCGAGGCGCCCATCATATGGCTTTAACACGTATCCCCTCTCCTTGACGCGGCCGCTAGCTATACAAACGATGATGTGTTGCTGTCTTGCACACCATCTTTTAATAATAATATACATGGCGGTTAACTATTATAGTTGATTTTTATTTTAAACGTATTGTAATTTCAGTAGGTACGATGTTGTATTGTTTATCGTTTAGTCCTGTTACGGTTTTTGGTCATAGTGGGGTAGACAGTAAAGAACTTGCGCAGATATCAATGGTTCGTTTTGCGTGTAAAAATTAAAGACAATGTTAATATATGTTTTGTATCAAAAATCCAATCGTTCAATAGGAAAAATTTTGGGCCAATTCTTTGATTAACAAGTGGACTAATGTAGGACAAAAAATCGTTTAGGAAGCAAGATGTTTCTAGATAATGCGTTGGGGATCAGTCCCCGCTAAAGAGGGCAATGACCTGTTTAAATCTGCGGGAAGTTGACGAATGCAGGTGGCTCACGCTCATATAGTTCCCGTAGCGGTATTCGAGGCTTGTTATCCAGCCATGGGCAATTTGAATATCAATCTCTCGATTCCTGATCCATAAAGATATAAGATTCAGTACCCAGAATAAAAAACTTAATTACAACAACGTTTTTACCATGTTAACACCAAACATACATATAATTATAAAGATAATAAAGTGAAATGTGTCG